GTGTCACTGTTCAGAGTTGCTCTCAGAATATGGGACCAAAACAGACTCACATGCATGAAGGTAAGCTGACCAGAGCTTTTTGTTTAATATCAAAAGAACAACTAATCTTATATAATGTTATATGTCTCTTTTATATGTTGGTTTGTTCTATAAAATCCCTTAAGTCTATTTTCACTGTTGATTTTTAAAGAAACTAACCTAAGCTAACATAAGCTCAGAGAACACTTTTTATATTGACTAGATTTCCATTTTTCTTTTGATTGATAATACAGTTGCAGTCAGAGGGCTCATGAGGCCATCCTTTCAACATGATATGATGAAATATGATGAATTATACATATACACAATGCAACTGTGCAATGCTCTGGTCCTTCTAGTCCAGCAGGCCAGCTTTCTGCTGAAAGCTGCTCTGCTGTCCGTCCTGCTGAGTGGCCTGCAGCACGTGCTGGCAGACTCAGATGAGGAGGCCCCAACTGAGTGGGAGATCTGGAAAAGCAGATATGGCATAAGCTATGATGAATCAGTGAGACAGCCTCCACATCTAAAATCCTCACAACAACAATAAGTGCAAATGTTCTCAAACGAAAAGTCCACATGTTCTCTAATTTATTCGAGTTTTTCTTTCGTGTGCTTTTCCTGTGTTAACCATCAGGATGACATGGAAAGGAGAGCCATCTGGGAGGAGAATAAGCAGTTGATTGAAGACAACAACCGAAGGTTTCTCATGGGGATGAAGTCATTCAGTATGGCTATGAATAGATATGGAGACCTAGTAAGGAGTATTGTTTTGGTCTAGTAGAATTTAGTAGTAGAGTAGAAGTGTTTTGTTTCAACAAAGAACTTAACCGGAGTTAACCAGCTCCTAAATGTACCTACTATTTTCCACAAAGACCTTAAAAAAAAGAATTGTCTGATTAATTGCTGTAACAAACTGTGAATACTGTGATACTGTGAACAAAAATTGTTTTACATTTGCAGACACAACAAGAATACCGGGTTTTGCAAGGTGCCAAGATGAATGCTCAGTTTGTAAAGAGAGGGAAAGAAGTCTCAGCTCGAAGACTGCGTAACAATGCAAGGCATTTAGATGGCTATGCTGTTGACTACAGAAACATGGGTTTTGTGACTGAGGTTAAAGATCAGGTAAGACTGTCCCTCCATCACATGAGTGGGTATATTCAGACTGAATCACAATCAGATCTTTGTTTTAAATGTTCTTTGCAGGGCTTTTGTGGGTCATGCTGGGCCTTCAGCACTACGGGAGCTATAGAGGCACAGCTGTACAAAAAGACAGGTCAGCTGATATCCTTGAGCGAACAAAACTTAGTGGATTGTTCTAAATCCTTTGGTACCTATGGGTGCAGTGGTGCCTGGATGGCCAATGCTTATGACTATGTGGTCAGCAACGGGCTGGAGTCTTCAAACACCTACCCATACACCTCAGTGGTAGGACTCTGCTGTCTTATCCTACATCATAAAAAAGTAAATAATTCTGCGGACATGCTGCGGTTAACATTTATTTCTCT